GTATGTGAACAGTGAGATGTTTGGGCGCTGAAGTCGCCATAGCCAATTAAGAGTGAACTCGTGCCTGAAAGCCATTTCTCTGAGTTTTGAGTGGGTGCATGTTGCCAGTATGCTACGTTGCTGTTTACATGCATGAAAAGTGTGTTTGAGAACGAGTCTGATTGCACATCTATTGGTGGGGAGCAGCACCTGCTGGAAATCGGGTCCAGCGTCCCTAAACATTATGAAGGTCATCAGAACATGCAAATTGCTGCTGACTAGCAGCATTGATTGCCCTCCGACGAGGGGATTGACTGCCCATCTGTGTACTCAGTCCAGCATCCCTTCGCATCCTAGCATTTCACATGTTAATGCAAACCCCACTTCTAGTCCTATCTTTCTTCCGAGTACAATATGCTAATCTAATCCTTGAGAACAAATATACTTTGCTAGATATGGCTCTTCAGCCCTTCGTTGGGCCGCCTGATGCTATCCATAGGCTCTAGCAGTCTAGCTACTTGTGAAACTGCTCCTCACTCTCCCTCATACCACTGTCTCTTATACACATCTAGATGTGTATAAGAGACAGCCCTCATACCATGCCTTGCTTACAATGCGATTTGCAGGGGGGGGGAAGAAGTCAGGGAATTGGTGCTTTGCCGCAATTGAATTTAATCTTCTATCTTGGTCCAATCATTGAAGAGGAGTCTATAGTCTCTGGTTATCTGCTCGTAGTCCTGCCCCTCCTTCTGCCCCTTTTCTCCTCCTTTGCATTCCACTTTTCTCATCCTCCCTCTCGTTTCCCCCCCGAGCCACTCTCTGCAGAATCTTTGAATTTTTTCCTTTATTTCTTTTTGAGTATGGGTGTGTTTGATGTGCATTTTAACTTCCTCCCATCTTGCCATTATGTTTGTCTGTCTGGATCTGTTGCTGTATGTTCTCCGTAAATTCTGGTCCTTCCAACCTCATTCCCTCCATCTCATAGGTGCAGCGTCGTCTCTATAGTGCCCATAAGACTGCCCTACGTCCTTGTATAAACATATTAAGGCTGAAGTCATCAGGCTGTTCCGAGGGCCGTATTTCCAACATCAGGGCCCTCCAGTCCAATGGCTTGGGTGTCCCTGTTCCCAGTTGGTCCCAGATTCTATCCCACCATCGTCAGAGCCAAACAGCGCCCGGACATCGAAGAAATATATGTTTCATTGTCTCATGTCTTTTTCTTGATGGGAATGCATTCGTGCATAATCTACACCAGGGTAAGGCAAGTCCTTTCCTTTCAAGGTTAGTCCTGTCAATCAGCCAATTGTTAGTTGGTAGGCACCTGTGTTCCATTTGCCATTGTTTTTTTTTTTTTTTTTTTTTTTTTTTTTTTTTAACCCTATCAATGTTAGTGTTGCTGATAAGAGCAGACACCACTAACACCTGGGTAGGGACTCCATCTATTGGTGGGGAGCGTCACCTGCTGGAAACCGGGTCCAGCGTCCTTTTTACATAGTCTTTGATAAAAAAATGTGGGGATAAAAACTGCCTCTTCAGCCAAACCAGGCGGCCAGATATAACTATTAAATCTAGCAAAAAAGTTGTCTCCTGGAAATAGTCTAACAACTATCCCAACAATGTAGACAACTTTTTCTTGAGATTGCAACCAAAGTCTTGGATATCCAATATATGTTGCATTCATACTTTATTGAGGATACCATTGTGAATCCACCATTGCTAATTCTGACGGGGGGAAGGGATCAGGAAAAAAATTTGGAGATCTGAGTATGGTTCCTGGAGGAAGCAAAAACCAGTCTTTGAAGCTCAAGAAGAAGTCTCGTTTTAAAATTTCCCCTGTTCTTCCTCCCCCAACCATTTCACTTCTCCCAGGCACCCTCCTTCAATTCCTCCCAACCAATTTTTATTGATTTTTTTAAATACATTCAATTATGTCATTTTTTTTATGAAGATGTTGTATCTTTGATCGTATTACTGACCAATATGCTCTTATTTCTGTTTGTACAAATTGGATAATTAGTTCAGGAAATCCCATACCTTCAAGTCTTACATCTTCTCTTTCAAAGACACACCTCTTGTACCATAATGTCATAGTAAGGAGACCAGGTTGGCAGGTTTGGATTTGCTGAATTGGAACCATTTAACTTTTCTCAGCGCTTCTTTGCTGATGTTCAAGTGATTCATCCATCTCGCTTCTACCCGGTCCCGCAGGTTAGTTTTCAGTCGGAGCATTCTGTATGTTGCTTTGACTGTGATATCAGATAGCGTTTTAGTGTTGGTTCTGCCCCTGCCTATTGTGTTCGTCCATACCCATTCCCAGGGGTCCAAGGGCAGTTGAGAAATCGGCGTGTCCGGGGAGAACGTCACCCATCTCTCGTCCTCCTTCAGCACTCTAATTCTTGAGAGTTCCTTCGCTTCGACTAGTTGTATCTGTTCAGGGATAACTTTTTGGAGTGAGTTATCATTGCAGATTGTGAAGATGTTTGCTGCCACCAGTCCTGTCGGGTCTCTGCGCACCGCATTGCCCACTTCTCCCTGATGACCCCAAATTAGTACCCAGTCCAAGTCTCGTATCGAGGGTCCCTTTCTCAAGATTTTTCACCTGTGCAGGGGAATGCATTCTATCAAGTTTTCCAGGGTCTCCTCCGGTTTGTGGCAATACCTCAGTTTTTCCTTAAGTTGGTCTCTTGCGATCCAGTCCCTACTATCCACATCCCAGATGTCCCTAATTCTAAGGACCCTTTTTTTCACCCATCCTTTCCATGGGGAGTCCGTGCAATGCAGGACCTGACCTCGTGTGTTAGTTATCCTTGTATTCCCAAATAATGGTTGTCGGGCCACCTCCTCCCATCTTTCTGGGTGGGTTTTGTCTGGCAGGGGGAGATTTTCCCATATCCGCAACAGGTTTGGCCAGAAGGGGTCATTGTGCAGGTCCTTTCTTGCCTCACGTCTTGGTGAATTGACCTCGTCCGCATTTTCTCTTTGTGCTCGTCGCTGCGGGATTAGCCATTATCTGTTTTCAATCCATGTGAGCGGGTTGATGTGGGCTGGTGTTTCCGGAGCTAATCTCGAGATCTGCTCTAGTGCCAGGTCTCTCCATGGGATATTCGGGCAGAAGAGCAAGCGCTTAAGCCATTGTATGGCCAAAGCC